TAGGATTTTCTGGGGAAAAACATTATGGTTTACAAAGAACAAAGAACCCGTTTTCTAAAACAAAACGCTTATGAACTCACCAACTTTAATGTTGACACTTTTTCAACCCACTTGTATTCTCAGGATCGTTAGTAGACAGGTACTCTCTCAGATGTTTCGAAGACGGAGCTTTACGTCTTAACTTTTGTTGTAGTTTTATTGTTAGAACAAGTAATGTTTTGAACACAATGTAAATATTATGTTATTAATATAATGGTTGTTGTTGCTTTGATTATTATTATACAATTTTTTTTGATATTGTACATGACGTCTTCCGCCCCCGAATGTTTCCGCCGTTCTGGTTTGGGGGTGTGACAGGTAGACCATTGTTTATAGTGAACTAAGTATATCAACCTATAAAAGATATACAACTATAAATACAATGGGGCTAAAGTGCTCTGACTAAAAGTATATTTTTAAAATATAAGTATTTTATAAGAAATATACTAACACTCATACATACAAGAACAGTATCACAGTCATAACTACATAAAAGTATTTGGATGTTGGACATTGTAGTTAAACCTAGACATTTATGTAATCATATCTAGGATAAATATAGTCTGATCAACTATATTTATTTGTGATACGACCAACATGTGTTTGAGAGTAATAGTTGTGTTGCAGCAGGTCTAAAACTTACCACCCTATATACAAAGAAATGATAGAACAAAACATAAAGTTGAAAACACTATAGGAGTATTTTAAGTACTATAACTAACTTATGTGAAAACTAAAAGACCTTTACTGGTAAGGATATAATTACCGAGTGTATACATTAAGGTTATATATAAATGAGATTTTATAGACTTTGAATTGGTGATTTTCACTTTACTTCCTGTTCCTTGTTTGGTTGTGGTTTTAGAGTAGGATCACTTTTTCGAAGGTCTATTTGATCTTAGTTATATATAATTTGTATACACTACGTGATTAAAGAAAGACACGGTAAGGATCATCTACGTAAAAATTTATTTTTAATTAATATGTTTTATTAATCTCGTAGATTCTTTAGATATTTCCATTCTCGCACAACCGACACACCTAGACATCGCAAACAGCCAACAGAGGAATCAAGGTAGAACCAAAAGAGGGTTCGCAAAGAAGATTCCGACAAAAAGACCGGACAAAGAGAAAGGCACTAGATACATTGTTAACAAACCTTACCCTATCAGAAACAAACTAGAGAACATCGTATGCATCATACTAATAACGAAGAAACTAATATAACCTAGTGAGTCAGTGATTACACTGATCACACTATGTGTTAAGTTTATCACGTATTTCATCACAACTAATAACTGCAAATCAAGTCACGGAATTTCAGGGAGGGTAGTCATTATTGAAAAATTCATAAGTTTATTTTCACACAGACTTCTATTATGAATTGATTACAATACACTTGACATTCAATTTATAGCGACTACCGATATCTTACCAACCTTTCATCTTTAAAATTTCTGACAGAAAGATACCGCCTCGTGGATATATTAGGTGTAATAACAACACGACAAAAAATCCACCACCACCACCTTCACAATATGATCATGTTATGTTCCATGTTGCGGTGACTGCCGTCGTAACAGCTGTCATGTCTCATATCCACGCAAGTGGTACCAATGTAACGGGGAAGTAGTGCTAACCCATCTAACCATGGAAATAGCCAAGGACACTCTAAGGAGTGTACATATAAAGACTTCATGAATTGCAAACCCAAATCCTTTAGTGGAAGTGGGGGAGTCATTGCTCTAATGCAATGGTTTGAGAAAATAAAGTCGATTTTCGAAATTTGTACGTGCCCAGAAAGGAGCAAAGTGAAGTTTGTTGCCTGCACTTTCTCCGATAGGGCCCTGACATGGTGGAACGGCCATATTAACTCACTGACCCTTACAATAGCAAACTCAATGAGCTGGGAAAGCCCAAAAACAATGATGTTAGAGAGTACTACCTGGGGGGCGAAGTATAAAAACTGGAGCAAGAGCTATGGGAGCTTACTATGACAGGTTCAAATATAGTGGCCTATACTAATAGATTCAGTGATCTAGCGGTACTATGCCCCGGGATGGTTATCCCAAAAAGCAAGAAGATAGAGAGATACATATGGGGACTATCTCCTCAAATCCAAGGACACGTGATAACTACGAAACTTCCCACATTTGACAGTGCCAAGCGACTGGCACAAACACTCATGGACCATGGGGTTCGCCAAGGAATAATGACCCTATTCCTGAACCAACAAAAGAGGACGAATATAAGCGAAAGTCTGGGAGCAAGAAGAAAATGCATTCAACACAAGAGACTTCGAAAAGACAACAAATAGTTGCGATTCATGCTGCCACGACACCAGCCACTCCAGTACCTGGCAGTCGATATGCTGGAAACCTTCTGAAATGTAACAAATGTAACTTTCACCTGAGTTTTTCGGCAAATGTATTGCAAGAACTGCCTCAGAATGGAACACACCATCCATTTCTGTAGGGCACCCGCACGACCAATCTCTCAGGTCCCATACAATGGAATAAGCCAAACATGTTACAGGTGTGGTGAAACTGGACACTTCCAGAAAGATTGTCCAATAACAAGGAACTCTGGAGAAGATGGAAGAATATTGATGATCACCACAGGAGAAACTGTCCCGGAACCCCTGTGAATAGCGGTACGTTTTCCCAAATAAAAAATATTTAACTTAAAACTTTTTATAAATAATAATAAATACACTTTCGTCCGAACAAAACACATCATTCATATAAAAACTAAGTATCCTTACAGGTGAGCTATAATGGCTTAGTGTATACACTAGGGTCATTTATAATTAAGATTTGTAGGCTTTGAGTGAGTGATTCCGCCTTATTTTCTATTCCTTGTCTGGTTGTGGATTTAGGGCAGAGTCACTCAATCAACTATCTTCCCAATTTTAATTATACATGAATTGTATACACCAAGCGATTATAGAGGGACATGGTAGGGATTATATTATAAAGGTTAATTATTTTTAGTTATCAGAACACTCGTACTGCTAGTACTCGCTAAGTATAATACAAATATTTGTAATAGTAAAAACAAGGATAAAACAAGCACTTTTTCCTAATCGACTTAACAATCATTACGATAAGAAGTTGTATCCTTATAAATGGATTTGTTTGGTCCTCACCATACCAATTTCTTGTGCCACGTAAAGACCCTTCGTCTTAATTTGACCATCTAACGAAACTTCCGCCACGTATATCACATTCTGACACAATCGTCAAGGGAACACCGTGAGCTTTCACTATCTCTTTCATGTAAACCTTGGCAAGCTTATCCATATACCATTTCTCATTGGTTGCTATGAAATGTGCACTCTTAGTAAATCGGTCCACAATCACCCAAATAATATTGTGACTTCCCTTCGTTCTGGGTAACTTGGTCACAAAACCCATGGTGATGTACTCCCACTTACCCATGGATACCAGTAAAGGTTCCAAATTCCCATATGGTTTCTGATGTGTAGCTTTGACTCTTGCGCAGGTCACATAATCAGCCACATACTTAGTAACATCTAGCTTCATCATTGTCCACCAGCAATATGATTTCAAATCCATATACATCTTGGTGCTGCCTGAATGAATAGAGTACATGGTTTTGTGAGACTCTTCCTTGAGATCTTTTACCTCCCATCTTGGGCATCCAATTTCTATTTTAGAATACCTTCAACCCTTGGTTGTTCGTTCAAAACACTAACATCTTTCCCAGACATTCTTCCTTCCGGTTATCTCCCTCCAAAGCGTCATTTTGAGCTTTCTTGATACTCTCCAGAATCGTTGAGACGATTTCAATTCTTAACACTCTTGGCTCTTTCCTCTTCGTGTTTATTTTTCTGCTCAAATCATCTGCCACGACATTCACTTTACCAGGATGATAAGTATCTCGCAGTCATAATCCTTGAATAACTCTAGCCAACGTCTTTGTCTCATGTTCAACTCCTTTTGATCAAAGAGATATTTAAGACTCTTATGATCGCTAAAAAGTTTACACTTCGTGCCACAAAGAGAATGTGTGCAAAGATAATGTGTGCATATCTTTAATGCAAAACCTACCGTTGCTAACTCCAAATCATGAGTGGGGTGGTTATTTTTATGGATTTTCAGTTGTCAGGATGCATATAGTATCACTTTATCTCTATGGGTTAGAACACAATTTAACTCAACTCCAGATGCATCACTGTAAACTGCGAAGTCTTCAACCTCATCAGGTAAAGCAAGGATTTGTGCTTCATATAATCGCTTATTTGACTTCTCAAAAGCTTCTTCATGCTTCCTACTCCATGTGTAGGTAGCCCATTTATGCTTCCAGGATGTTAATAAAGCAGTTATCGAAGAAAAACATTGGATAAACCTTCAATAATATCCAACTAATCCTAGAAAACTAAGAATCTTAGTAGGACTTTTTGATCTTTTCCACTTCATCACTCTTCAATCTTTGATGAATCACTCATTATACCTTCTTGGTTAACTACATAACCCAAGAATTTCAACTCTTAGGATCCAAAAATCACATTTTGATAACTTAATTTCCCATTATACCTTCTTGGTTAACTACATAACCAGAATTTCAACTCTCAGGATCCAAAAATCACATTTTGATAACTTAATTTGCATGTGATTTGGATTGACGGTCGTTTTAACCATGTTCGGCGTGTCATTTGGTTCCTCATAAAACTAAAAAGGCTGAAATGTCGTTCTTATATATTTTTTATGTTTTTTCTATTTCATTTTTAAAAAAATTAATTAATTTCAGACTTGGATGGTTATTTTTCAAAAAAAATACTTTTTGTCTGTCTAAAATTCTCCATTCCAGACTTAGATGGTTATTTTTCCAAAAACCCAACTTTTGGTTGTTTTCTTTAAATACACATTACATTATTACATTATGGTTAGTTTACTCAATTTCCATTTTGTTATTTTGTTAATGACAAATCAAATTCTCTATCATAGAAATAATTTTGCATATTACATCCTCCCCTTCAAATCAAAATCAAAAACCCAAATACAAATTCTCTATTATAATATAAATAACAAGAAAAAAAAACATGACTCGTGCAAATAATAATAAATAGACATAATTTGGTACAAAATTTTGCATTAGTAGTAGCATAAGGAAGTAGCGATTGAGTAAGCATGGGGTCCACATATGATATCATATTCATACCCCCTCTCTACCTTTCTTGCTTGTGGATGAAGATTTTGTTTGCTTTGTGGCTTTCTTCTTTGCTTCTCTAAGAGCTTCTCTCTTCTCTTCCCTGAAAAAAAAAATAAGGATCAGAATTTTTCTTATATTAAAATTAAGTGGATAAATTAATAAAACAGTGAAAGTAAATTAAGTAATGAAGTTACCTGGCTTTTGAGATCTCTTCTCTAGGAGGAGGTTTATACTTCTTCCTCTTCTCAAAGGTGGGAGGTTTATCTTGGAATTTTCTTTTGAGATCATTTGACTTTGTTGTTGACTTTTTTTTCAACAACTCTTTCTTTTGTGGTTGTTGAGGAATTTCCACTTCTTCCATCTCAGAAACTTCTTCTTCTTCCACCTCTTGTTCTACTTCAGAAGCTGCAGAAACTCCCTTTGAATTACTCATTTTCTTCAACTACAATATCAAATAATCCAATTAGGGTTTTTTATCATACTTTCAATAATTAAAAAAAAAAATAAAAAATCAATAAAAGCAATGTGATACCTTAGCAACAAAAAACCCATCCATGTTATGAACATGAGGGTAGAATCGTCTTGTCTTTTCCAATGATGGATGAAATCTACGTTCTCTAAATCGAACAAACCTTTAAAAAAAATATACAATTTCTTTAGACACAAATATATTAATCAAAAAATAAATAATAAATAGATACCCTGGGCGCCCAAAATCTAGTCCACATGGCACAAGTTTCACATCCCTCTTCTTCAATGCATAATCTATAACATCTTCATTCTGCAATATCACAAGGTTTAAAAAAAATATTCGGTTCTTTTTTTTATTAAGATTGTTGTTGTTAAGTCCATTAAGTTAAAAAATTAAAAAAAAATAAATAAATACCTCAATAACCATCATGGAGCATGTGGAGTAAACCACATAACCCCCTGTTTTTGAATTTGCATCCACCATGTCAATTGCTGCAAGTATTAATTCCTGTAAATCAACATATTTAAAAAAATTAACACAACTTGCTTCAAATAGTTAAAAAAAATTTACAATAATAATAGCATAAGAGGTGTAAAGTGTTTGGGTACCTTTTGTAGACGTGAGAAGTTTTGTACATCAACAGCAGTTTTAGAGGTTTTGACAGATTCATCTTTAGATATAACCTGTAAAAATCATTAAAAATAAATAAATAAATAAATAAGTAAATAAATATTCTCGTTAAACTAAAAACCATATAAAGCTTTTATGCTTACCCCAGTACCACTGCAAGGTGCATCCAACAAAACCCTGTCTGCTGTGTTATGTCCCAATACTTTTGGGAGCTGAAATCAAATAAAAAAAAAAAAAACAAATTACAAAAATACCCTAAACAGAAACTCAATATTATATGAGACTAAAGAATATTTCTGCAACAATTCAGTGAGGATGAGGGCTTTCATGTCTTTTTCACAAAGAAGAGATTGTAACCTTTTTGGGTGGGTCAAATTTATATATATATATATATATATATATATATATATATATATATATATATATATATATATATATATATATATATATATATATAAGTAAGAAAAAACTAACCTCTCTCCCATCATAGCTGCATACTACAGTATTTGTAACACCCAATCTTTGTAAATTAGATGTTAGTTTACTGAGCCTCTTCTCCTTCATCTCATTAGCATAAATAATACCTAAAAAGAATCATATATGGAGGCTGATTAATTAGATAAAATTTATATAAAATATATTTTATATCCAAGAAACATGAGAAATCACATACCAGTGTTTTTCATAAGAGCTGCAATGTATGTAGTTTTACCACCAGGAGACGCCCTACAACAAGTAAATTTTTTTTTTTTAAATGGATTAAAACAAAGAAAGGATATAAAAGTGAAAGATTGCAATTCCTTTTAAAAACTTTATACAAACTAAAAGTTTTTAAATAAAAAAAAATGTTGTGAATGCTTACGCCATGTCAACAATCCGTTCTTTCTCTTGTGGAGCAAGGGCCATTACAGGTAGAAAAGAGCTTGCACTTTGCACCTGTAAAGAATAAGCAAATTTTATAATTTAAAAATAAAAAAATAATAAAAGTTTTTTAATTAGGAAATATATAACTATATAACTATATAAGTACCATGTAATGACCAGCCATGTATTCTGGAGTTGCACCATATGGCACTTGATGATCATATACAACCAAGCCAACCTGTTGTTATTGTTCAAGGGGTAATTATGGAAACATTACATATTTTTACAAAAAAAAAGATGATGAATGATTATTACCTTTGACCACTTGCTTAATGGATCCAAATTGATTCCTCTATTCAACAAAACACCAGCCAAATCGCGTCTTCTTGTCTAATCAATCATGAAAAAATGGAGCTACATAAGTATGATATCAAAAAAGAAAAATAATTAAAAAAAAAAATAATTATAATAAGTTTTGTATAATTGTATCAATCACCTTTAATGTGTTGGTGCGTAGGGTGATAGGTCTAGGCTTTTCAAAAGCTTCAATTAGTTCCATAAGTTCAACAGGTGGAAACATCTGCACAAAATGTAACATTATAGAAAGAATTGGAATTTGGTGAAAAATATGTTGAATTTATCATACAAAATATATCAGAGATTAGTAGATTAGTAGATTAGTAATTACCTCAACAAATGATGAAATAAGGAACTCATTGTAGCCATAATATGATCCTAAATCCAACTTAAGTTGCTCTATATATTGCTTTCTTGTGGCTCCTTCTTGCCTCAAAGCACTAAAATTTGAGAGAATTCTAACAACTGGAGAGTTTAATTTGAAAAATGTTATAAAAATGGAGATGGGAATATAGGGGCATAAGTGGAAAATGAGTTTTTTTTAATCACAAGATAAGACTCACTCTCTTTTATTCTTTGTTGGAGACCAGTGAGATCAGGGGGTCCACGAGCTTCCTCTTCAAGTTCCTAAAACTCACCAAAACCAAAATACGATTACACTTGAGAAAATATAAACTTTAGTTAATATAGAATCATGAAATTTTGAAAAAGAATTCGTAAATAAAATTGGATTATATTTATATTGCGAACTTGCTTTCCATTCCATGATAGAATGAAGAAAAAAAGCTAAGAAACAAAAATTGACACAATGAAAGGAATCACATTGCTTTAAGAATGTTCATTCCATTCCATCAGACAAAAGAAACAAGTTCTTTTTCATTCCAATGGAATGAGTCATTCCATTCCTTGCCCCGATTCTATCGTATACACCAAACACTACCCAAGTAAATGCAACATAACATGTCATTTAACCACAAATGATAAGAAAAAAGGAAGAAGAAGTAAACCTCTTGTGTTGGCAATCGAAACTCATCAGGTTGTTCTTTGATGTTGAGTTGTAGTTCATCTTGCCCCTCTTGTTGTATTCTCCTATTTGCTGCATCTATAGCTGTAGATTCTGTCTGAGGATCATGATCATCAGAATCGGAATCGGAATCCAATTCCGCATCTGAATCTGACCCCTTAACTGTAAACAGATAAAACCAACCCAAAATGAAAACTAAGAACACTGGGATGGATATATTAAAGTTGAACAATGGAACATAACATATTAAAGTGAAACTGTGAAAGATTGTGTTTTTAGAAAATTCAATAAGGTCCTTAATGTATTAAGGTGTTGTTTTTTTTTACTTAAATGACTTAGTGTAATTATTTTTAAATTTAAGGAATTTAGGAGGTTGTGTGTATCTAAATTCACTGTCCAATTCCAGTTGAGTTTAATTTTCTGACCTTTTGGAAGACCTACTTTTAAGTTAAGGAGTAAAAATCAGCACCTCTACTCAAGCTTACACTTCTTTATGGTGTGAGAATATTTAACAAATTTAGGTTGTTACATTTACCTAATTCATTTTGATAGATTATTGTTTCAACAGGCATGATTCTTGAATCCAATAATTGTAATTTGAAGTACCTTCATCATCGCTTCCGTCTAAAAAATCGCGAGCCAATGTATCATCCCCATCCAACGAAATTTCCGACCCTGAATCCCCACCTTCATCACTATCAACACTCTGTTGTTCAAGTTCTTCGTCTTCCATATCAGACTCGCTCAGAATATCATCTTTCTTTTTGCTCTTGACGGAAACAAACTCTTTTCTGTTTGGTTTCTTCTGTGACTCGCTCAGAATATCATCTTTCTTTTTGCTCTGGACAGAAACAAGCTCCTTTCTGTTTGGTTTCTTCTGTGACTTTTTGCCTTTAGCAGCCATTGAAGCTACTAAAGAAGGTAAAACCAGATTAGAACAAAAGGAGTCGAGAAATTGAGCATTTAAAGGAATTTAAGTTCAAAAATCATAAAACCCTAAACATCAACATAAAATTCAGGTTATAGAATATGATATACCAGCAGGGGCTGAGGAGAAAAATCGAAATCGCAGGCTCTAAGATAGAGAGACGAAGGTCGAAGAGAAGTCCTCAGTCGCAGCTAGAAGAGGTGGAAGGAAAAGAGAGGGGATGCGTTATGTTAGGGCTTAGGGTTTAAGGATCGGAGCCCGCTGATATTTTGTTAACTTTACTTTTTAAATTGTTTTTAAGTTCAATCCAACCTGGTTCAATAATAATAATTAGATTATAACCCACGTTAAATGCGAAAGAATGTATAAAAAAAAAAGACGATAAAGTAATATAAACCTGGTTCAATAATAATAATTAAATTATAACCCACGTTAAATGCGAAAGAATGTATAAAAAAAAAAAGACGATAAAGTAATATAAAGAGACTTCGTGTTATTATAATGTGTAAAAGAAATAAAATGAAATGTCTTATTATCTATAATTGTTGAATGATCTTTTTTAAACAAAATTTTTTGTTTTATTGGTTGGACTACCTTCCTCGTTACATATAAATATCTTCGAGTCTTTTTTTACTTGTTGTGTAAGAAACATCTACATATACAGTAATAGATCCTTTAATGGGCCAGGAGAGATCATGGCCCCTCCGTTTTTCCCTAGATCTAGTTGTTTACCATAGATGTTGCAGAGGAAGGATTTCGGAATGGTTGTGACGAAGGCGACTACCCAACGAAAAAAGGGTTGGGAGGTATATTTGTTGGGGAATATCATTTGGATTGTTCAAAAATTAAAAAATTGATTCTTGAATCTTGATTGTTCAAACGGTATTGTTCTTCCCTTTTGATTCTCTGATTCTTTATCAATTTAAAAATCAAACTCCATTGATGATTCTTCTTTCTTGATTAGACTATTATCATAATCGGAAAATATTAGATCAAGCAAGGTCTAAACCTTAACCAAATATAAGGGAAACCACATTGTGACCTTGTTACAATTAATCACCCCTAGCCTTGGGTGCATATTTATATAGGTTAATATAAATTGAAAACCATGTTTGGATAAGTTATATATATATATATATATATATATATATATATATATATATATATATATATATATATATATATATATATGTTAAAAACCAAGTGGAAATAAACAAATGAAGTCAACAAAGCCATATGGACTCAAAGGAGTCAACACAAGTCCAAACAATAAGTCTATATGCATATTATTGTATATTACTTCAAGGATTTCGACTTTTAGAGCCTAGGAACACTTTAGAAACGAGAATCAACATCTTAAAAGCCACCATGACCGAAATCTATTTCTTTTAGAAGTATTAGGACCGAAATCAAATGCTTTATGAAAGCTAGAACCGAAATCTCCAAGCCATGGACCAACATGACCGAAAACACAATGCCTAAATCCCATCAAGGCCGAAAACTCCTTCTTAGAGCATGCTAAGGATCGAAATCTCCATTGTTCTAAATAGAAACTTGGCCGAAAACCCCTAATAATATCTACATATTTTAGCCACTTGCTCTGTGAATTGTTTTCCCAATACGATAAGTTACACATACCATTGCAAACCTTATCTCAATGCTTCCTATATAAGATAGGAATTAGGCATCCTTCAAATTAATTTCATCAGTAAACTTTCACTTTATAATTTTACTCTCAAGATACAAACCCATTTCCTTCATCCTTTCAATTCAAGTTACACCGCCTTACCTGAACTAGGTGATCCAAAGGTTTGCTGAAGTGTTCAATTGGAAAGGGGGGCTTCCTCCACCCCGAACCCAACAACATACTATTTCATTAAAGGAAGGAGTTGAACCCGTTTCAGTGAGATCCTACATATACTCTCATACACAAAAGATAGAAATTGAAAGGTTTCTAAGCGATATGCTCAAGGCGGGGATCATCAGCCTTCACGAAGCCCTTTTTCCAGTCCAGCCCTGTTGGTAAAGAAAAAAGATGGGTCTTGGAGGTTTTGTGTAGACTATAGGAGTCTTAATAAGGTCACGATTAAGGACAGGTTTCCAATTACTATAATAGAGGAGTTGTTGGATGAGTTGCATGGGTCATGGATTTTCTCAAAACTGGATTTAAAGTCCGGTTACCATCAAATTCGGATGAAAGAAGAAGATGTCCCAAAGACAGCTTTCAGGACCCACGAAGGTCATTATGAGTTCATTGTCATGCCCTTTAGCCTTACTAATGCACCAACAACGTTTCAGTCGGTCATGAACGAAGTTTTTAAACCGTTCCTTCGTCGATTCGTGTTGGTTTTTTTTTTTTTTGAAGACATATTGATATATAGTCAAGATGAGAAGCAACACATACGACATTTGGAGATAGTTTTGGAGTTGCTTCACAAGCACGAGTTGTATGCTAACCCCGGGAAATGCGAGTTAAGCAAATTCCAAATTGCATACTTAGGTCATGTGGTATCTGAACGAGGTGTGGCTGTCGATGAAGAGAAAATCAAGGTAGTGGTGGCATGGCCTCTTCCATCAACAATGAAGGAGTTAAGAGGGTTTTTGGGATTGACCGGGTATTACCGGAAGTTCATAGTTGGGTATGCAAAGATTGCAGCTCCTTTGACAGACCAACTAAGGAAGGATTGTTTCAGTTGGAACGAAGAGGCTACTGAAGCCTTCACACAACTGAAATCCGCTCTTACTAACACCCCTATTTTGGCAATGCCAGACTTTACTAAGATGTTCGTGGTGGAGACCGATGCTTCAGGGAAGGGTCTTGGGGTTGTGTTGACACAAGAAGGGCACCCAATTGCGTATTACAGCCAAGTTCTCGGGGTAAGGAATCAACTTAAGTCTATCTACGAGAAAGAATTGATGGCGATCGTTTTGGCTGTAAGAAAATGGAGACATTACTTAATGGGAAGGCATTTCATCATAAGAACAGACCAACGTAGCCTAAAGTATTTGATGGAACAAAGAGAGGTGGGGCCGGAGTATCAAAAATGGATGTACAAACTATTGGGGTCCGACTTTGAAATTCACTACAAGCCCGGACCCACTAATAAGGTGGCAGATACTCTTTCACGACAAACCGAGGGCAACACTGAATTACAAGTGCTTCAGTCTACTTGCTCCTTGCCCTTGGAAGACCTGAATGAAGAAATCAAGAACGACTCATCCATTCAACAGGTGAAGGTTGACATAATAGAGGGTAACAAGGTGCACGTGGGAAACTCAGTCGAGAACGATAAGCTCTTGTATAAGGGCAGGTTAGTAATTCCTCATAACTCAAGGCTAATACCTACTTTACTCAAAGAATTTCATGATTCGGTGATCGGGGGACACGCTGGGGAACTGAGAACCTATCAAAGGTTAGCCTTTGAATGGTTTTGGGTGGGAATGAGAAAGACAGTGCAGAAACACGTTAAGAAATGTCAAGTTTGTCAAACTCAGAATTCCTTAAACACACATCCAACCGGACTCCTTCAACATCTAGCCATTCCAGAATAGGTGTGGGACAACATCTTTATGGATTTCATAGAAGGTCTACCTAACTCGAAAGGATACAATGCCATTTTAGTGGTGGTGGATCGCCTCACGAAATATTCACATTTCATAGCAATGAAACACCCTTTCACAGCAGTGTCGGTGGCAGCTACATTTGTCAAAGAAATAGTAAGACTCCATGGGTTCCCAAGAACCATAGTTTCCGACAGGTACATGGTTTTCATGAGTTTGTTTTGGCGTGAGCTATTTAAGCTGCAGCGTACTAATTTACTCATAAGCACCGCCTACCATCCCCAAACGGATGGCCAAATGGAGATAACCAACAAATCGATGGAGCTCTACTTACGTTGCTTCATACAAGGGAACCCTCGAACATGGTCAAATTGGTTACCTTGGGTTGAGTTTTGGCACAACACAACCTATCACACGTCCGGAAAGATCACACCTTTTAAGGCGTTATATGGTCGAGACCCACCTCAGGTGCTTAAGTTACAAAGAGGGGATACAACTGTTTTTACTGGGGAGGAACAATTATTAGAGAGAGATGCCATACTCGATGATCTTAAGGGACATCTGCTCCAAACCCAACAAAAGATGAAGAGAGAGGCGGATAAAAACCGCCTGGAGGTTTCGTTCAATGAAGGGGAATGGGTATTTTTAAAACTGTAGCCTTATAGACAACAATCCGTAAGACACAGACCATTCCAAAAGCTGGCAGCTCGTTACTATGGGCCTTTCATGATTATCAAGAATGTGGGATCAGTGGCCTACAAGCTCCAACTGTCTGAGACGGCCAAGATTCACCCCGTATTCCACGTTTCGCAATTTAAAAAAGCCATTGGGGATCAGGTAGCAAGGCCCACGCTACCAGCCCACTTGTCGGAGGACATGGTTTTACAATGGAAACCAGAATCTGTTTTGGGGGTGAGGAGTCAAATGGAGAAGGAAGGACAAAGAATAGAGGTTTTGATCAAGTGGAAGGACATACCAGATTTCGAGTCCACATGGGAAGACTTCACCAATATCCAACAAACATTCCCAGACTTTAACCTTGAGGACAAGGTCAACCTTTAGGGAAGGAGTAATGTGGTGCACCCACCAGTGTAATTCACCTATCAGAGAAAAAGGATAAAAAAGATTCCAATTATGGAGTGGACCATATATACTCTCGATAGCACTGCAAGAGTAGTGGGACAGTAGGGGCAATTTAGGAATTAGAATCATTCTCTGTCTTGGCAGTCTATATAGTCGGCAGGGTATATCCTTTTAGGGAATAAACAGAAAGAACCAGAAGTTTCTTCTATCTAGGAGACCTTAGCATCTCGAATAACTATTTCTATCATTTCTATTGTTCTTGTTCTTGTTATGAACTGAGTTTAATACAATCATTTGACTGCCATTCAAATTATTGATATTGTGAGTGAGTTCATAACAAAACCAAAATTAAATGGTCAAAATGACCAAATCGGTTCAAATGTGTTCTTTTGTAACCGTAATAGCAAGTTAAAAATTGACTCGAATACTAACTTTTTATACCGGATTGAAATGAATAAAATTAGCATTGTACCAAAATGATAAAATTAGACTTATGGTCAAAATGACTAAAACGGTCCTATTGTGTTCTTTTGTTTATGTAATGCAAAATTTAAAATAATGAAAATACTGATTTTTTATGTTTTGACTAATTGAAATAGCATCCTACTATGGTCATTAATAGCAAAATGATCAAAATATACTTAAACGGTCAAAATGAGCAAAATGGCCATTTTGAGCAAAATGATTAAAATATACTTAAATGGTCACATTCTTTAAAAAAATATCCTCAATCTTACCCCTGAAGAGAATAAAAAAAAAGTTTAGGAATGAAAATTTGTTGTTGTGACGAGAATAATGAGAACATAATATCGGATAGAATTTTAACTTCTCTGGTCTTTGTGGAGGAAATCACAAGCTCTCCATATTTGTTGATTCGATTCTTTTCCTGCTCAAACAACATAAAAGGAAAAATTTTAATATATTATTTTTTTTTATAAATATTTTTGGCATGCCATTTGTAGAATTTCATCTCTCACCCTGTAACTTAATCAATAAGCTGCCTTATAGTTAAACCTCATATCAACTTTGGTATTTACCGTAAACAAAGTAATTGAAGTGGTGGAGGGTAATCTTGGTATAACAAGAAGAATAATAAAAAGAAGAAGAATAATTTTTTTTAATATGTGAGAGAATTATAAGAAGTGAAACCTTTGTGGACATTTTGACTTCCAGATCCACCACTTCTAGCAAGGCTCACGGTAACATGAAAATAATGTTAATAATAATGTTAACAAATAGAGTCAAATTAGCCATTTATCATTTATTTTTTTTATATATTATTTTTATATAGCATTATAATTTATATTATTCATTATGTTTCTCTTTAACATCTATTTAAATTTATATAATTATTTACAAATATATATTAATATTAATTTTAAATAATCTATAGGAAAATTGTCAAACAAACTTGACCCTTATTAATAATATAAATTTTTTACCCGTGAACTAATATATCTGAGAGAGACATGGAAAAGATAAAGTCACAGGGATGTCAAGAAAGAGATGCGAAGGCAAGAGGGAGAGAGATGTTGGAGGCAAGTGTGAGAGAAATGAAGGAGTTGAGAGTGAGTGTGGAGTTGAAGTTGTTTCCAATAATTTACAAAAATAGTCCTTACATTATCAACATAATGTCAAAATAATTAGGAAAAAGATAGGGGTATATTTCTCATAGACATTTAACAGATGAGAAACCACAAAGTCTGGGTCAGGGACCACACATGCAATTTTTGGAAACCATAAGGATTATAAATATCAAAAACTAAAAAAATGGACTAAAAAATGCCGATTGGTTTAAACTACAAGGAACAAACTGTAATTTACTCTGACAACCAATTAGCACGACCCTAGCTCCCCGCCCAAAATTTGAAGTCAGTCAAGTCACCACCAAAATTTTGCAGAAAAAAAAACTATACGATGCACTACATCGGCTCCGATCATCATCAACGGTCGGACTCCGATCAACAACTCCGGGACCGGCAATACTTAACATGCTCACAAGGCCATACTTCGTCTCTGATACTGCAAACCTTAGAAGGCGGATCGATCTGCTTAGTCTGTCTATCCAATCTTATCTCAAATCCTAATTCCCCTACCATTCACGTCTCTTACGCCCTCTCTCAGCTCTCTCAGGCCATCTCTCAACCTCCTTTCCTCCATAATCTCCTCACTGTCCATCCTCATTTTCTCGTTTCTCCTCTCATAACTGCCCTTTCTTCTTTGGAAGACGAGCCCCTCGCCAAACAGACGATTGATTTGATTTCCGAATTGTGTAGCTCTGGTGATTCTTCAATTTACAGCGAGTTTGTTGCTAGGGTTTCGGATCGATTGTCTTCTGGTTCCTTAGCTTGGAGCAGGCGACAAATATATATGGTACTTGTCCTCTGTGTTGTTACTTGACCCATTTTTGTTCTTCTGATGGACGTCATTTAGGTATTTGAACATATCTTAGGATACTGAACTTTAGCAAATTCAGCTGGTTTCTGTTTCTTTCTCAGTTTAATATGACTGTTCCAAAAACGAAAATGATGGTTTGTGTTAGTTGTTGTTAGTCTACATTTATCTGCGCTATGATCCATTCACCCACTATAATGTAGCTTAAATGCTTCCTTCTCCTGCAAATTGTTCACTTGTGTGATTTCAGACCAACAAAGTAGTGATTAGAAACTATTTCCACAAAATAATACCACCTTGTCTACTTAGTGTCAACTAGAGTCATACCATATAGATAGGGTACCTGAGGTGGAATTCAAACTCAATGTTTTTACTTTTTAGATAATGTCCAACAGTCAAAGGTAGTTTTCTTTGGTGATTAGCCCCTTCATGTTTTCTTTATGGCTTTTCCTGGAGACTTTACAATTACTTGGCCTGATTTTCAGCTAACATTTTCAAGCTTTAGCTACACTGCTTAGGTGTTCTATTGGACAATCAGAAGAATGATCCATACACCCATATCAAAGAAAGAGATGAGCTTATTCTGAACCTAGTAACAGGTCTTCAGTTGCCTAGGTAACATTTGGAGTGAACATAATTATTGTATATATGCACATAGTTCAGCTTGATTCATCCTTATGAGCTGTTTTTCTTTCTTAAATGCAGTGAAGAGATCCAAGGCGAGATCCTATTTGTTCTTTACAAAATATGTGGCATCCAACAAGCTTTCAAAGCTAATAGCAATGTTGATGTCTTATATGTCCATTCTTCAAAGATCTTACATTTGGCATTAGAAGTCCTCTTGAAGACCCAACGAGATGATGTTCGCTTGAACTGTGTAGGTCTGTCAATACTCCATACTTCTCTGAAACTCTTCTTTATCTATTTATCAAGAATCATTTTATCTCACATCAATTAACATTTTATCTTTTACTTCTACAAAGCGCTATTATCTGTGCTTACACGCAAAGGGTTCTTCGAGAATGCATTCGAAAATGATGAAACCGCATACCCTGAAGCAGACAACTCCATGGAAACAACTGACCATGAACAAGAAAAAACTCCTCTGAATCTCTTGTTTGCAGAAGCCATAAAAGCACCTCTTCTTTCTTCAGATTGTGAAGTTCAAACTGCCACATTGGATTTAATTGTCCTGTACTTGTCTTATGGAGGTGTTTCAAGAAAAGATGTCCAAGTTCTGGTTGAGGAGAACATTGCTGACTATGTCTTTGAAATTTTAAGATTATTGGGTATGTTCAACATAGTTTTATCTACTCAATTCAACAAAGAAAACATTTAGAAATAATTTTGTCCTTTTGGGTCTATTTCTGTGTTTACAGGGTGCAAAAAAGATTCTCTTGTCAGCTTATCCCTACAAGTTCTTGATCTCATGTCAGTAGCAGAGGAAGCTTTCAAACAAAGACTTGCTATTGGTTTCACAACTCTTATTCCTGTTCTTCATCATGTTGCTGAAGTCCCTTTTCATCCTGCTCAATCTCAATCACTAAAACTTATATCAGAATGCATTTCAAATTGTCCTGGAATCATTTCAAGTTTCAACAATGAAGAAATCAGTCTTATAATGGCAGGGATGCTCAAGAGACATGTTGATGGGGATGCCAACATGCTTCCAGAAACATTCACCCTGGTATGCTCACTCCTTGTAGCTCTCATTAACTCTCCATCTTGTCATGGACCTCTTAATATTGCCAAATCACTACAAGATATATCAAGATACACCATTGCAATTTGCTTGAGCTTTTATGGGGAAGATTCTAGTCAAATGCTACACTCACTTTACTTACTAAAAGAAACATATGAATACAGTTTACAAGGGAATTATACAGAGTTACGTGACTGTATATTGGACATATGTGAAACCAATCTTTTGCCTTGGGTTTCCATGAACATTAATGAGATCGATGAGGATATAACTTTAGGTGTTCTTGAGATTTTTCACTCGATACTAACTCACTCTGAATTCCAACCTAAAGAGTTTGTAGATGCTTTGGTTTCATCTTCTTGGTTTAGTTTTTTATTCGGATGTTTAGGGCTTTTTCCCACAGAGAAGATGAAATGGAGAGTTTATTTCTTATTGGGATCCATCTTGAATGTGATTCTTGGAAATGAATGTGGGGAATACATCAAAGATGTTGCTTTGCATCTCCCATCTGATCCTATTGATTTGTTGTTTCTTTTGGGGCAAAAGGGATCTCATAATCAACAAATTTTCTCTTGCCAATCTGCTGTTCTGTTGATACTTTACACCAGCTCCTTGTATGATGACAGGTAGAAAAAACAGCCTCCATTTTTACACGTGTCATAATTTCTTCCATTTGGCATTGATTTGAATATTAATGGCAATTGTTATTAATTACTGAAGGCTTGCAGATGATAGGAAGGTGTTAGCTTCTTTGGAGCAATATATTTTACTCAACAAATCTAAGCTTTTGAATAATGGAGTTGTCAAACTCAAACCACTGATTTTGGAACTCCTTGTAAATCTTTATGGTCTTTATAGAGGTCTAGCTAAAGTAAGCTACCAAATACCATATAGCCCAGATGCCGAAAATACCCTTTTCCTTATTATCTCACAAAAACACATCCACTTTCTCTCTAGAAGAATCCACTCCACATCATTAAAATGGCTGTTTCAACAAGAAAGAATCTCCCAATATCTATCTGATCAGATTCTAAGATGGTGTAGACGATATTTTGTTTATGGAAACAACCAGATTCTTGTGTCTAATCATGACACAGTAAAATTCAGACAACTTGCTGAGCTGGCAGCATCTGAAGACAACTATGCAGCCAAATTACTTGTGTGTTTGTTGCGAGAGGTTGTTGAAGAAACCAGACAAGAAGATGATATTGTTTTATTGTTGAACATGATTGCATCAATTGTTGCTTTGTTTCCATCTTCTTCAAGGGAATTTTGCTTAAATGGAATATCCCCTGCAATCAAGTCTCTTTATTCCCAACATTCTTGTGGAGAGATATTAAATCTTACTTCTCAATTGGTTTTTACAATATTACATTCGATTGAACCGGAATCGGAATCGGAATCACTTTCCGATGGTGAAGCCTGGAATGGAATAGCAACAGAGTTGATACACTACTTGATCTCCACAATTACTAACAATGGGTTCACTCAAGAAGCTCTCCTTGTAATGGGGATTCTTTCTTTAATCTTGTATCACTCACTTCATCAAAACCTTCTAGAAGCATCCAAGACTATTCTTTTGAACACCCAATTGATCTCATTGGTTAACAAAATGATCCATGAAGCTTGTTTGAAAGGACCCGCATTAATTGATCATGATGAGACAACACAAACCGGAGGAGGCCTCATTTTTTTGCTTTTTCTTAACTATTTTTCTCACAGAAGGTTAGTGTTTACTATTTACCACTCATATAATAAACCTTCTTTTCATACCTCATAATTTTTAACACTCTGTTTTGTTTTAGCGTGCATGTTATTCTACCAGGGATTGAAGATGTAGAAAACTTACTTAACAGCGACAACAAAACCCAACACTCATCATTATTCTACATCAACATTCATTCCCATGACTTATGCAGACTCTTACATTTCGGGTCAACTCCAGTCAAACTAATATCTTCATTCTGCCTACTCCAACTATTCCAAACAATCACACAACAAAAAACAAAATTGCTACTCAAAGATAATATACGTTCCATAACCTCGATCCTACAAGGCTTAATTTTCCACAGCGATGTTACAATCGCCATGAATTGTGGGCTCTGTATATCAATGGTGATCGATTGGGAAAAACAGGATGATACTGATACCCGATTTGTTGAAAAGGATAATTGGTGTCGATTAATAACCGAAGAACTGGTGATGAGTTTGGCTGTTCCAAATTTGGCGTCGAAATCGATCATGATTCATCACAAGCCGGCGGTTTATGTAGTCGCGTCGAGGTTAGAATTGCAGAAAGTTCCGCCTCCATGGATGTCGGATGTGTTTGATGATTCGTGTATAAATGGAATCATTCGAAACCTTTCGTCGAGTAACATAACACGTGAGATCGTGTTATTATTTCGACGACTTTTGCAATCGGGGTACCTTAACTCCAAGCATATCGCTTGCCTCAATCAGCTTTTCCAGGTATTTACAGTTTTACACTCTGTATTCAGGGTAAAATATAAATTTTTGGACCAATCCTGTAACAAACGGTATAGTACAGGGACCAAACTTGTAACTTAGTTACTCTTTTGTTGCAGGGTTGCAGAAAACGAGTTTACTCAGTTGACACTGAAGATGCTGACACAGAAGAGAAGAAGAAGAAGAAGAAGATGGTTGTTTTTGCAGAGGATCCAGCTGGACATGTTTATGAGGTACTCATTGACTTTATTTCACTTCATTCTCATTCATCTCCAAATGAAGGACTTCTACAAGAAATTGAACTTTTCTGCCAAACACAAACACCAATGGAAGTAGAATAATAAATCTAAAAACAATTATAGTAGTGTCATCGGTATACGAAACAGTTTTTGGATTTTTTTTTTCTAAAAACAATAAGAAAAAAAGTTGAAGGTACAATATTATACTAGTGTCATCAAGAAATTATACAAAAAAATCATATGAAACGCAAGAAATCTTGAAGATAACTACAATTATAAAATTTTAACTCGGGATTCTTTTAATATCTTCAACATTGTTGACTTATAAGAAACCAAAATAAAATGCAAGAAATCTTTGAAAATAACATATACAATAATGATTGGGATTTTATTGGTTTTTTATAAAAAAAATATGCAACAAATCTAAGAATGTTATTATTTTACTTACTTGTTAAGTGATGTTTAAAAAGTTTGGTTAGATTATTTTACCTTATTAGATGCCTTTATTTTATAAGCGTAGAAATGATACTGTATCATGTTATTTTTTTGGATTAGGTCCAAAAATGATTCTTTTTGTAAAAACCGTCTTATAATAGGGTTCTGTTATGGTTTTGGTGCGTGACATTAATGCTGTTATGTTTGGTCCGTTAAATCTTGTAAAATGACAATTTTACCCTTGATTTTTTATCCATCTTTCTCCAAAATCTTGTTACATTTTCCTGCCAACACACATTTTTGGTAATTAAGGCTCAACATTCACTTACCAAATGCTTGTATCCTTGTGTATCGGAAAAGGTACCCCTCCCCCATGTGGTCGAATGTTCGAGTCTCATGATGGACAAAATGTTTACATTTAATAAGGGGTACTATTGGTGGGTGTGAGTTATCTGTTCTAAAAAAACGGCTCAACATTTCCTTTCCTTGATCTTTTCGATTCTAAACATGTATTTTCACTAGGTGTGTGTTTAAAAATATACGAATCCGAAAATTTTGATATGAAATTATCCGAAACTGATGCGGATTCATATAATTATTAGTTTTTTTTGGAACCGATAAATATATATAAAAAGAAACACCTCACATCAAGATGATGCAAGGGGGAAGTACAAAACAAAACAGGAAACAAGAAAAGAACGAGAAAAAAGTTACAAACAGAGAAACGGACCAAAATTTAAAATTCTCTAATCCATGTTTTTAAATGAACCTCTATGTTTACACCATACGAAAGTTATTGATTTTATCTTCTCCACTATCTTGAAAACCTTGTGGTCCTGTCATTCCATATATACCATAATCCTCCATATAAGAGCGCATTCAACATGATTCTTTTCTTTTTGCATTTAGACCATCGAGATATGAAGAGTAACATATCTTTGACCGAATCAAATCCATCATGTGAAATTTCACACCAAGATAAGATCGAGTTCCTGACAACCTTCGCCACTGGGCATAAGAGAAGGATGTGATTGCTCGTCTCTTCATCCAAGTTGCATGACACACAAATGGTTGATGGCACTGCCACCCCTTACTAACGAAATAGATGATGGAATTTTGCCAAGCTTTGCTCTCCAGATAAAGCATAAGATCTTATTCGGTATTACTTTGCACCATTCAAACGGACCATCACAAACGATGTGACTTGCCATTTCAATCCATTCACGTAACGATCTTAGCGAAAAATGGTTATCAACCACAAAGTCAGATGCCCAACAATCATCATCATTTTGGTTTTCCAATATACAATTTTCTTTGGAATCAATGTTGAATTTTTTTTTTAACGTAGTTCTGATTTTGACTATATTTTTCCATACCCCGATCTAGATATGTTAAAAGCACTATATTTTACAATTGATAACACGGTCCAATTTGACACCTACCACTACTCATTCTACTCATTTAAATGTGATATTAATAATTTCATTTTTAAACTCCCATGTTTTTTTATTATTTTTTTTGTAAGGATTAGCTTGAGAAACAACTATCTTTGTAAATATATTAATAAATTTGTCATTTTTAAATAAACTATACTAAAATTAATGTTAGTTGAATTTATATCTAATTAGATAAAAAAAAAATTAAGGATGAAAATTTTCGGGTATCCGAAATGCTATCCGGATTTATATTATAGATTCTAATTGTAAAATCCACTATTCAGATTTTTGGATATCTAAAATTCGTATATGATCCCCATATATTTTTCCTTGTGTCTAGATCAAACTTGTCATACATACAAATACAAATGTACACTATGCCACCACTTAACTGAATTATATAATAGTTTAAATTCCCATAGACACTCGAGTTTATTCAAGATACACTAAATGGTTGGTGACACTAAAATCACTAACATACACAATGCCTACCCTAAAACATTTAAGAAACCTGTGCTTTCCTTCCACATCTTTCGATATGAGACACTCCTAGTGTTCTTTTATTTTCCATCCGAAAAATTTAGTTATATTAGACAGTCATATATGTATTATTTCAACTGTCTTTTTAATTTATGTGACTATTCTATATAGAGGGTAATGTCAACACTTATATTTATAAATGGTTCTCAATAACATATCAACTTCTTTTGGAGTGTGATTTGTTCCACTCCTTTTGGTTAGTAAAGATGCGGGGTAATCATAAGATTTTTAGATGTTTTCACAAATGACTGTATTGGAAGTTTTAATTATATTTTATTCAGAGCAAGATACGGAGAAACTCATAACGTTTTCATTTGTTTTTAGTTTATGATCATGCATTTTTTTTTTTATTTATCTTTGCATGAATTTGATTTGAGTTTAAATTATATTGGAAGTTTCAAGATACAACAAAGTCTGTATGAAGTATGTATTTTTTTATTTTTTTTTTTTTATTTTTATTTTTTTTATTTTTATCTTTGTAAGAAGTATTTATTTGATTTTAAGTTGTATTGGAAGTTTGAACATGATTTGTATATTACGCTTATTGGCATAAAATTTGAAAGGTGTAAAAGTTTTATTATGTATTTTGATTATATGTGTGTGAGTTCCATAAAGATTATTTGAATATTTGATAAAAAATCCATGTCACTCATAAGAGGTTTCATCTTTATGTATTGTTTGTTTTAAATGTCGAAGTGTCAAAAGAAATCGGAAACAATGACTTGGAGTGAATTTATTAGAAGACTACTTTTGGAAATCTTAAGAGTGGGACATATCATTTGATAATTTATACTACGGTTGTTTGATATGTAGATTGTCACCCCAAAGTTGTGTATTTAATTTTAAATAAGGTTTTAGATAAAACAGTATATTTGTAAACTCATGATTGTATGTCATAAAGTTGTAACAACATAGCTTATAAATAATTAAAGTTTGGGGTGTCATAATTACCCTAGGTTCAAAGCCATATTTTTCAACTTATTCACTAAATAGAATTGTCTCATAGAAAGAAAGAACAAACAGATCTAGTACTGTATTGCGAGCAACACCATTTTCACACATCTAGGGATGACTTGTGTAATTCACATAAAGCTGGAAAAAAGATTCATGATAATAAAACATAGAAAGAACTTGTTGCAAACAATTGTTGATATATATATATATATATATATATATATATATATATATATATATATATATATATATATATATATATATATATATATATATATATATATATATATATATATATATATGTTTAATTCACTCAGAATAGATTCTCATTTAAACACTAGAGGCAATTTCTATCAACTCATGTGGAAAAGAGTATTGAACTTTCGTTGTCTCTAATGTTAGCTTTTGTATTATATTGTAAGATCGATTTGGTAACACAAATAAATACCTAACTTAGGATCAGGAAATACATATACATATAGTACACATATACATCGTAAGAGAAATTTGTAGTCATTGGACCTTTTCCCTTTGAATTAAAGTGAATTGGTCTCCATTTTGTAACATCCTCCCAATTTCACGGTCAGAAAAAACCGATTTGTTTATGTTTTATTTTATAAAATCAGAGTAATCTTTTGATTAAAAGAGTTGCGGAATTTGTTCCCAAAACAAAAATGATAAGAATTTATCAAAACGTTTCTCAACGAGAATGTATTTTCATTATATAACAAAATCTCGGGATGTCATGTTCCAATATAGACCACAAGCATAAACAATATAAAATATGTAACACCCCCTTTTGGCACGTATCACAATAAACAAGGAAGGTATCCACACCTCTTTATAAGGAAATGTTTCGTTCTCCTTCCAAGCTGATGTAGGATCAGGTGCAACCCACCTTCACCCCCCATGAAGGATCATCAAAATCCAACAAGGAAAAGAAATTCTCAAAGATTGAAGAAGGAGGAGGAGGTGAAACCAAGTGGTGCGAGAAGTGTAAAAAGAAGCACTTCGGGAAATGTAGCGAGGAGGTGACTTGCTACAAATGTGGGAAGACAGGGCATTACGCCAGCAAGTGTGCGTCCAACAAGAAGGTGTGTTATGGATGTAACAAGGAAGGGCATATTTCCAGGGACTGCCCGGGGAAAAAATAAGGCAGCAAGACCAGAAACGCCACCGAGGCCAAGGGCATTCCACATGATCCTCGACGAAGCAGAAAACCGTGCAAGGAATCAATGATGAGGACTTCATATCCGAAGATCAAGTTATGCAGTAGCCATAGTGTCGTATGATGTAGCCTATTAGAGGCATAGTCTAGGGTGAACTTGGACACCTATGTAATAGTTTCAAGAAATAATAAAACCTTCGTTTTGTTATCTGATGTGTTAAAATGTTATGTGATTTTCTTGTATGGTGACTTGGGAAACTGCGGGACAATACTTGGGACGAGTATGAGTAGGTGTGAATGGTAGTAGAGGCCTATACTACCGGAAGCACAGGACTCACACTTGGATCAGGGAAAGTCACAAGGTTACCAAGAAGCTAGTAACTGATTCTGTTTTTTTCAAGTATGTCATTACCATCGTTTCGATAATGACTAAAAAGATTGTTAATTTCCGACCCTAGTAGTCGTACCGAATTGAGTCCGACTACGATGAGTATGTTGCGTGGTTCAGGGAACCAAGTTCGATGTAGCGTCCGACTTAAACCAAACAATTGAAATCAAAGCGATCAATAGAAGTATCGCGTTCGTTGTTAAAGAAGTTGGTAGCCAGAAACGCTACATGTTAAAGTGTGATTATATCACATTAGAACATGAAGGAAGGCATAGTCTATTTTAGAATTTAACTCTAAGATACCTAAGTCTAAACGTGCATCACATGATGATAGGTCATAATTTGAAGTCTAGCCTGAGGTAGAGAGCAGGTGCACGATCGAGTACTGCTTACAATCAATGAGTCTAAGAGATAGACTTGAAAGAATATAGAAGTTATAATTATTACCTAGGATGAAGAGATGACGTATGGAGTCATTATACGATCCCTTTTTCATTGATGATTCTGGGACGTAATCATCCTAAGGGGGTGATAATTGTAACGCCCGCAGATCCGGGTTAGTCAATTTAGAGGCAATAGAGGTCGAAAACGACTTTTCGACAAAAAGATTATTTAGAATAAATAATCTTAACCAAGTTGAAGATAATGTCACAAGGTTTCTGTACATATAAAGAACGCCGAAATCCGAGTTATAATGAAGAAGTTATGACCCGTCGAAGTTTCGCGTCGGAACCGGCACGACGCCGGGAAACGTAAATAGTAAATTTATGATAGAGAAGATTTAGTCTTAGCACTCTAAACAAAAGTCGTAGAATATGTTAAACTAAGAACATCGATAAAAAGAATGCCCAAATCTGACTTCGTATGAAGAAGTTATGATTTTTCGAAGTTTCGGATTAGCGGTGTACAGCCCGAAATTCGAATTTTAGATCGATTGATTTTTAGCCGACACAACCTAAACAAGAATCGAAGATCTCGTTATTAGTAGCATAACGATAAAAAGACAAACGAAAATGGACATCGGATAAAGAAGTTATGAGATTTTAACGGACCAATCTTGTCCCGGCCTGTTAAAAATATAATTTTAAAAATAAAGTCAAAATTAGTCGACGGAGTCTAAATGAAAGTTGTAGAATACGTCTCCACCTATGCGTGGATATAAAGAACGTAAAAAACGGAGTTCGTATGAACGAGTTACAAATTATAATAGCATATTTACGTATTAAAATAAAGTATAAATCATGTATATGTACACATATATATACATATGTCTATATCATTAGAAATGTATCGACGATGCGGTCATTATAAGACTAATGTTGAGTTCTTTCGACATTAGTTTAGTACAAAGATCATTAAATCCATTTAAAATAGTATTATAGAGGGGTGTTTAGTTGTTTATATAACTAAAAGGTCATTAAGTAATTATGGATGATAGTTTTTGAAAATTCAATTAGTATAAATAAGAGCCTTGGGCTCTCATATTTCTTGCACCATTCTCTTGATTCAAGAGTCTTTCTTTCCTTATCCCCCGAGCATTTCGGTCCCTCGTGATTCGACTTCTCTTTCTGTAGTTTTAGTATAGTAAGGTGAGCGCTGAAGCGCTGCACGAATCTTTCTTAGAAAGATTCAGCGACGAAGTTCTGCCCCTGCAGAGCCCGACTCCTAGCTAAAATCCCCTTGAAAGTAAGTTATGCTTACCCTATTTTAAATATAGTTTATATTTAAAATTAGTATTGTTATTATAAATTTATAATAAATATTTGAGCTATTATTATGACTTATATAAGTGTCGTTATAATATCTTTTAACTACTCGCGGTACGGGGAATCTGGTTTAAAGGGCCGCATAGGGTTGTTGGATTTCAGAAGTGCTATACGCCAAAATGGTCCTGCCCTCCGGTGTTTTATGTCTGGCCCCTGTCTGTACATAGTAGTTGGAAAGTATTGTTTAAACGCTTATATAATAATAATAATAATAATAATAATAATAATAATAATAATAATAATAATAAGACTAATAATTAGTCATGGTAATATTAGACTAAAATCTAGT